TCGGTGTCCCCGCGGGGACCCCCCGTGTCCCCGTCGTGTCCCAGAGCGGCCCCTCGCGTCCCAAAGTGTCCCCGCTGCATCCCGAAGTGTCCCCGTCGTGTCCCAAAGTGCCCCTGCTGCACCCCCAAAGCATCCCCTCCTGTCCCGAAGTATCTCCTTGTGCCCCAAAATGTCCCCACTGCATCCCAAAGTGTCCCCGTCATGTCCTATCATGTTCCCTCATGTTCCAAAGTACCCCTGCTGCACCCCTGAAGCATCCCTTTGTATCCCAAAGTGTCCCCTATTGCCCCAAAATGTCCCCACTGCATCCCAGTGTCCCCGTTGTGTCCCCTTGTGTCCCAAAGTGCCCCCACTGCACCCCCAAAGCATCCCCTTGCATGCCAAAGTGTCCCATTGTGCCCCAAAATGTCCCTACTGCATCCCAAAGTGTCCCCATTCCATCCCGAAGTATCCCCACCGCACCCCAAAGTGCCCTTGTTGTGTCCCCAAGTGTTCCCGCCGCATCCTAAAGTGTCCCCTCTGTATCCCAGCCATCCCCACCGTGTCCCAAACCACTGTTGTATGCTGACCTGCCCCCGTTGTGTCCCAAAACACCACCACCGTGTCCCAAAGCATCCTCCTCGTGTCCCTGCCATGCTCTTTAGTGTCCCTATTATGTCCCAAAGCATTTCAGTTCTGTCCCTTACTGTCCCTTTTGTGTCCCATACTGTGCCACTTGTGTCCCAAATCGTCTCCATCATGACCCAAAGTGTCCCTACCCCAGAGGGGTGACTCTGGGTGACAGGGGCTGGTGTCCCACTGATGCCCGCTCCCCCCCCTACCGCTCTCAGCACCCACCCCCGCTGTCTGCGGTGACACTCGTGGTGACATGGGGTTTGGCGATGCCAGCCAGGAAAGGTGTCCCAAAGCCCAGGGGCCGCGGTCACCATGGTGGTCTGCAGTCTCGCCCCTCTGGGGGTGCCGAGGTCCCCTCCTCCTCGTGGGGTACAGGGACACATCTTGTCCCCAAGGGCCACCAGGAGCCGAGGGGCACCGGGCCCCCGCTGTGCCACCGGTGTCCCTGGGGATGTCCCCATGCCCCTGCCAGCAACGCCCCGTCCTTGCGGCTGAATGGGCTCTTTATTTGGGAATGCGTC